AAAAAAAAAGATTGAGATGGTAGGTGTAAACCCCATGAAATTGTTAATCCCCTCACAGTAAATGGCAGAGACTGTCAGATTGTATAAAAAGTAAGACCTACTATGCGGCTGAATTTAAACAGAAAGAAACGAGAGATTAAAAGTAAAACAACAGAAACAGATAGGCCATGCAAATACTAATCAGAAGAAAGCCAGAATGACTATATCAATATCAGAAAACATTTTAAAAATAAGGAATATAACCAAGGATAAAGGATTATTTCAAAATGATTAAAGGGCAAATTACCCAAACCCTGTTTATTGTGAATTGGGTGAGGCCTTATGATTCTCATTTTTGTATTCAACATCTTATCAAACCTCCAAAGACTTGCCCGATCGCCATCATTTCCCCCCAACTCCTCTCCCTCTTGTTGGGCATTATCTTCCCCTTCATCCAAGCTAAGGAGCCCTGGTTACTCCTCAGACTGCTACCGGGCAAGGTCAGCAGGTTGAAACCCCCAGCCAATCCACAGGAGAAAGACGAGGCTTTCTACTCTCATAGAGAATTAGTCTCCAAACCCACTTTTTAAAGGTGTCTGAGATTACAATAGGACCTCATGTGCAGCAGCAGAAGCTTGTGCAGGAAGTGACAAGTGGACAAGTTAATCGATGTTTCAGTGTGCAGCCCAAGGTGCTAGGTGTTCCTTTGGGAAAAAATCATCTGTAGGTGAATGGATTTATTGCTAGGTTCTCTGTTCTGTTCCATCAGTCTATGCATGTCATTATACCTGTACTAGGCTGTTTTGACTACTATGACTATGCAGCCGTTTTTAAGGTGTTTTAAGATGTGAAAGGCCTCTTACTTTAGTGTTCTTGATTAGTGCTTTGCAAACCTGTACTTCTTTCCTTTTCACAGAAAGTTGATGACTCATTTTTCCATCTCTTTGAGGAATGATACTGGGATGTGGATAAAAATTGCATTATATTTATAGATTGCTTCATGTTGTATTAATATTTTCATTATGTTAAGTCTTCCTAAACATGAACATGGTATATTCCTCCATTTATGGAGGTTTCTTTTGGTTTCCTGTAGTACTGTTCTCAGTGTTCTTTGTATAAATCTTTTGTTTCTCTGGCTAGGTTCATTTCTGAGTATTTCACCTTTTGGATGACTACTGTGAATGGTATCATTTTCTTGATTTCCTTTTCAGAACTCTCTTCATTAGTAGATAGGAATGCAATCAATTTTTTTTCTTTTGCAGTTGATTTTTGTATGTTGATCTTGTACCCTGTGGCATTGCTGAATCTTTCAACAATTTTCTTTTAAAAAAAAATTAATCATTTAATTGGGAGATTTTACAGGTATTATAATGATCCATAATTCAGTTAGATCCAGCACGACTGTACAATTGCTACCACCATCAGTTTCAAAACATTTTCTTTCTTCTTGGACTCTGATATTGGCTCCCTTTTATCCCTCCCCACCAGGCCCCAGGAACCTTTATTATTACATTATATCTTATTATTTCAGCCATATCTTACACCACCCAATGTATCCATTCACCTGAAATTTTGTTATTCGTTCTTGAGTGGAGTTATAAGTCATCATTGCTATCAGGTCCCCTTTCCCCCTTCCCCCACCTCTCTTCCAGTACTGCCAGGGAATCATTACTCCTGTTACTGTTTTTGAAGGGTTATCTATCTTGGCCTTTCTTTTTTTTTTAATTTTGTATTTTAAATTTTATTGTGTTAATATAACAATAAGTATTTTCCACTTCAACAATTTTTATGTGAATAATTTATTGACATTAAGTACAATTATTGTGCTCTGCAAACTTCACCACTATCGATTTCCTTTTTTCTTCTTCATTATTTTATTTATTTTAATTAAATACTTTTATTGGAGGCTCTTACATCTCATCACAATCCATACAATCATCCATTGTGTCAAGCACATTTGTACATATGCTGCAATCATCATTTTCAAAGCATTTTCTTTCTGCTTGAACCCTTGATATCAGCTCATTTTCCCCCTCCCTCCCCCACCCGCTCTCCCCCATGAACCCTTGATAAGTTATAGATTATTATTATTTTCATACCTTACATCATCCTCTGTCACCGTTCACCTACTTTTCTGTTGTTCATCCCCCTGGGAGGGGGTTATATATTGATCCTTGTGATCGATTCCCCCTTTCTCCCCCCACCTTCCCCTTATCCTCCTGGCATCTCTACTCTCATTGTTGACCCTAAGGGGTTTATTTATCCTGGATTTCTTGTGTTGTGGGCTCTTATCTGTGGCAGATCTGTAAGGTAGAATTGAGGTCATGCTAGTGTGGGGAAGGAAGCACCAAAGAACTAGAGGAACTAGAGGAAAGTTGTATGTTTCATCGGTGCTACACTGCACCCTGCCTGGCTCCTCTCTTCCCTGCGACCCTTCTGTGAGCGGAGATCTAATTGTCTACTGATGGGCTTTGGGTCTCCACTCCACGCCCCATGCCCCATGCCCCCATTCACATTGGGTATGATTTTGTTCTGGGTCTTAGATGCCTGAAACCTGGTCCCATTGACACCTCATGATTACACAGGCTGGTGTGCTTCTTCCATGTGGGCTTTGTTGCTTCTCAGCTAGATGGCTACTTGTTTATCTTCAAGCCTTTTCTTTACAACATTTGCTTATACACCCATTTTGTCTTCTGAGATCGTGTTGGGAAGATGAGCATCACAGAATGCCAATTATTAGAACAAAGTGTTCTTGTGCTGAGGGTGTACTTGAGTTGAGGCCCAATGTTCATCTGTAATCCTAGTTCTTAACATATATATATATATACATAGATCTGTTCCCCTCTTGTTATATAGTTTTACATGTGTACATGCCTATATTTAGACCTCTATAAATGTACTTTGCCTCCTGGTTCTTTCCTCTATTTCCTTTTTACTCTCCTCATGTCCCACCATCATGTTTGGCCTTCATTCGGGTTTAGTAATTCCTTGTTGCTACATTGCCCTTGATTAAGCCCCACCAGGCATCCTATGCCCTTCTCTCCATTGAATTTAGTTCACTTGTTGTTCCCTTGTCCTTGGGTTGGTTCCCCCACTCCCCATCTTGGCCTTTCATGCATTGAATGATCTTAATTATACAAATTAACATATGCAGGTCTAACAACCTCACTCTTGCTCCCTCCCATGACTGCTCAAAGGGCAACACTGAAGTGTCTTGGAAGAAGTATGGCCAAAGTGCTTCTTAGAGGCAAGGATGGCAAGACTGTCTTACACATTGCGGACAAATTGTCAGGAGAGATTAGTCCCTGGAGAAGGACAGCATGTTTGGTAGAGTGGAGGGGCAGCGGAAAAAGAGGCAGGCCCTCAATGAGCTGGATGGACACCCACCGAGGCTGCAACCATGGGCTGAGGTACGGGGACAATTGGGAGGATGGCGCAGGGCCCAGCGGTGCTTCCTTCTGTTTTGTATAAGGTTGCTAGGCTCTTTCTCAACAAGACTGGAGAGCCGCCTTTCCTTACACTCTGCTGAGCCCCTGCCTCTCTGCCTGAAGTTCAGAGGCTTCGGCCGCACCCCCAGTTCCCATCCACCTCAGCCAAAAATGGCCCCAGCTCCATCTCTCCTGTGCCCACAGCGGCGGGCGGGCGCGCGCGGGGCGGAGGCCCACCTTGGGGAACATGGTTGCCATGCTGCTCAGACACTCCCGGTGCTTCTCCTCCAGCTCCTTCCCTTGGTTCGTCCAGGCCTGCAGCCTGAGGGTCCGGAGGCGGTCGAGGTTTCCCAGGTAGACATTGAGGCTCTGGGGCTGGTAGGAAACCCCCGTTACTCGAAGGGCTTGGATGTGGTCGATCACTTCTTGTCTGGGGAGTGAGAAGGAGGAATTAGGGGGCTGTCTCTGTTTTCCGTAATTCCTGGAAGCAGCAGTGCTTTGGAGGTGATATCGGAGGAGAAGCAACACGGAAGGGCAAGGAGCCACGAGGAGGGCATATGTGATAGACGCTGCAAAAGAAACCAGAGAAGGGATAGAGAGGTGGGCGTAGAGGAGAAGCTCACTCTGAGGGGCCCAATAGATAGGAGCACTACTCCCCAAGGCCCTGAGGCCAGGCTTCCTCTGCCAGTGTCCTCTCCCAGGGAGACCTTGTCCTAGCTGGGGGTGGGGGGTGAGGGTGACGGGGGTTCTCCCCATCCTCCCTGGCCCTATGATCCTCTCTCCTTTGGGGTTTTTGCCTCTGCCCACACCTGGCAGGAGGTGTGGGTGAGCCAGACTTACACCTAGCAGGCCGTGTGGGTGAGGCGACCTACCGGAGTCTCCGGAAGTGCCTGTACGTGATGTACTTCCCGCACAGGCACCGCAGCCGGAGCACGCTCAGCTGCATGGTGGTGGTGATGAGCTCCAGGGCTTTGCTGCGCAGAGAGTGGGGGAGCCCCAGCTCGGCCGCCCGGCTCAGGAGCTCCAGGTTCTTCCTCTGCGCCTCCACGTCCATCCAGTACTTCTCCTTGTGGGCCACCAGGGAGGTCTGCAGAGCGGGCCGGGACCCCCTGCGCGCGGGCCGCTCGGGGATCGGAAAGGAGGAGGATTTCCTGGGCCGGGTGGGAGCGCGGGCCGTCCG